CTCAGCTACAGTGAAAGGCCTATTTATTCGCTTCATTCAGGTGTATGGGGAGCTCTGGAAGGTGTATTCATATATCTCATTCAGGTGTATATACACCTCATTCAGGTGTATCTGCAGCTGTGCAATGTGTATATATACCTCTTCCAGGTGTACATGTACATCATTCAGGTGTATATGCATCTCATTCAGGTGTATATGCATCTCATTCAGGTGTATATGCATCGCATTCAGGTGTATATGCACCTTAGTGATGTGTATATACACCTCATTCAGGTGTATGTACACATCACTAAGGTGTATATACATATATATATATATACCCCATTCAGGTGTATGTGTAGTTGTTTCAGGTGTATATACACCTCACCCAGGTGCACGTACACCCCATTTTAGAGCAATCGTAGATGTGGAAGGTGAATATACACCTCATTTAGGTGTATGTGTTGTTGCTTCAGGTGTACATACACCCGAATTGCAACGTGCCCCTGTACACCTCAAATGAGGGCCCTCAGCATCCCTTTGCAACTCCAAACCCTTCTTCCTACGGTTATTAGCTTAGGGTTTAGGGTTTAGGGTTTAGGGTTTAGGGTTTGTGCATGTACCTGAGGGCGTTTGCGAGAACTTTGGAGGCCTTTGGCCATTGCCCTCTGCCGAGGGAGATGCAATCAAATTGGGGTTTAGGGTTTTGCTGCTCTGCTACTGCAAAGAAAGAAGAAGCAGGGTCGGCTCCAGGAGACAGCAGCAGCAGCAACGGGGTGCTGCTGCTGCTGCTGCTGCTGGTGCTGCTGATGATGACGCTCTCCAAAGAAGGAGAAGTTAAATCTGCAAATGCGGGGCCCAGCACTTGCTCAACCACTTCCAAAGCAAACGGTGCAACCTGCAAACACAGGGTTTAGGGTTTAGGGTTTAGGGTTTGGGGTTTAGGGTTTAGGGTTTAGGGTTTGGGGTTTTGCCGCCACCAGTTCATCCGGGGTGTTGCCAACCGGAGCAAGAGATCTGCAGCACTCTTCCGTTGTACCCTAGGGTCAGGGTTTAGGGTTTAGGGTTTAGGGTTTAGGGTTTAGGGTTTACGGCTTCTTGCTTTAAGACGGAGAGTAGCAGCATGGTTTCGAATGTCCTGAGTGTACGCTCTTCTTCCTCGAAGAGTGGCGGCAGGGTTTTGTGAATATGTTTGAGTGCAACCCATTGTCGCCACTTATTAGAATGTGTAGTCAGGTGTATAGGCAGCTTCTGCAATGAGGATACAGCAGCAGAAAGAGACAGCAGCTGCTGCCATTGCTGCTGCTGCAGCAAATCGGGAAAAGGGTTTGGCTGGCTGCTGCCTTGTAAACCCTTCATAGAATTCCAAACGCCTCCTCCTAGTAACAATTGACTAGCCTGCGCATGCACAAACCCTAAACCCTAAACCCTAGAGCCTAAACCCTAAACCCTAAACCCTAATCAGTAAGCCTTCCCCTCCAACCCCTCAAACGCACAACACAGTTATGCGTACGGAAACACGCGAAAAGTTAATACGAAACTCCACACAGGGTTTAGGGTTTAGGGTTTAGGGTCTAGTGCTTGGAAGTTAGGACCTAATGCTTATAGTTTACGGTCTAGGGTTTAGGGTTTAGGATTTCGGATCTACGTTTCAGGGTTTTAGGTTTCGTGTTTAGGGTTTTGGATTTAGGATGTAGGGTTTCGGGATTAGGGTTTAGGGTTTAGGGTTTAGGGTTTGTTACCTCTGCGGCTTCTGGGCATTTTTCTTTTCTAATAATTTCTGCAGCCACTGCAAATGCAAAGGGTAGCCGATGTCTTTCAAATAGACCCGCTAGGGTTTGGCTATAAACAGCTAGAGTTGCTGCTTCCACCATTGCATCTATCCTATCTTCACTTTCTGCTGCTGCTGTTGCTGCTGCTGCTGCTGCTGGTGCTTCTGATGCTGCTGCTGCTGCTGGTGCTGCTGCCGGCGCTTCTGATGCTGCTGGTGCTGCTGCTGCTGCTGGTGCTGCTGGTGCTGCTGGTGCTGCTGCTGGAGGTATCATAGTTTCTTCTGAAGGCTCCGTTGCTGCTGCTGCGACAGCAGCAGCATCCGAAGCGGCATCCAGTACCACCTGCTGCTGCTGCTGCTGTTGCAACAGCTCCTGCTGCTGCTGCTGTATCAGCAGCTCTTCTTCCTGCTGCAGCAGCTCCTCCTGCTGCTGCTGCTGCTGCTGCTGTTGCTGCTGGTGTTGTCCTTTGATTGCATTTGTGAAAGCATCAAGAAATAGATCTAGGCTTGCGGTGTACATAGGGTTTAGGGTTTTAAGTTGTTGTGCAGTAAAAAAGAAGAGAGAGCCTCTAGCAGCAGCAGGTTTAAATTTTTGCTGCAGTGCTTCGATTTCATTCATTACTGCTGCTGCTTGACGCATTCTTGCTGCTACTGCTGCTGCTGTTGCTCGAGCTTCATCAAGAGTATTTGTTAATGCTGCATCGTCTAAGATGTTCCCACCGCTTGTTGATAATAAACGCAACATCGTCTCTTCCTTCGCCAAAACACAAACCCTAAACCCTAAACCCTAAACCCTAAACCCTAAACCCTAAGCTCAGAAATCCTAAACCCTAAAACTCTGAGCAAGAATTCTGAAACAGTTAATTCTAAACTGTAAACTGTAAACCCAAAATACTTAACTCTAAACCCTAAACCCTTAACTCCAAACCCTAAACCCTAAACCCTAAACCCTATATTATAATGCCTAAGGCCTACACTGCAGAGACCAACAGACGTGCAGCTCCACAGAAGCTTCAAGTCATAAGATCATGCACCCCTATACGCAGACCTTACGGTTTAGGGTTTAGGGTTTAGGGTTTAGGATTTAGGGTTTAGGGTTTAGGGTTTAGGGTTTACAAGTTCCTGGAGTTGCCTCAAGTCGACAGCATTTTGAATTTGTATTTGCGTCTTCTTCCGCTCTGCCTCTGGGCTTTTTACTAAAACAATTTCTACGAGCAGCTGCTCCTCTAAACCCTCACGGGTGACAGAGAAGTCCACGATAGAAAGCTGAACCCCACACACCAAACCCTAAACCCTAAACCCTAAACCCTAAACCCTAAACCCTAAACCCTAAACGCTAAAGGTGTTTGCAGAGGGGTGGCGTGTAGTTACACGCCTTTGGCATCCGTTGTTCTCTAGGGCTTGGGCTTTTTAGGGTTTAGGAGGGTTTAGACGTGGAGGGGGTTTAGGGGTTTGAGGGTTTAGGGTTTATGAATGCCTTTACGACAAAAAAGGGTTTAGGGTTTGTGCGGGTTCACAATGAAGGGTAAGCTTAGAGAATTAGGGTTTCCAAATGGGGTTAAAAGC